ATATTCCTGGTGAAACAACACAAAAATGTGTTAAGTTTGAACTTCTTACCAGAGAGAACATAAATTTAGTTTGGGGGCATCCAGATCTAGAGACATGTGAAGATACGATGATTCCTTGGTTTCTATCCAGCTTGTTAGCTAGTCCCTCCAATTTGCAATACCCTTTTGTCTGTAGCATGACCGCACGATCAACTTTGATTAGCAGCAGGAAGGAGAAAGTCAAAATAGCAGCAGTCAAAAAATGGAACATCATTGCTAGAAACATTTTCAATTAAGTGAATTCTGACAGTTGTTCTTCCTCCCAAAGCCTTTCATAAAAAAATCAAAGGTATTTTGTTTCCTAACTGAATAATAATATGCCAAACACTCTCTGAACTCCAACTTCTATTAAAGTTGTTCTTACAACCCAACACATTGGGTCCCTAAACAGGCCATAATGTGCTTTAGTATGGCTGTTAATGAACCATTTCAAATGAATCCTGGATACTGAAGGAATTACATGCTGTGTAATTGATCTAAAGAACAGATTAGGACTGGTGCTATTTCATTAAATCTTATTAGCTCTGGCTTAAGTACTTAAAATTTCAGCTGTCCTGTGTCAGATAGATTACACCTCTTGTCACACGGTAAGTGAGGTTTTCATCTGCTAGACCACAGATTTTAAAAAGGAACATGCTGATGAAAAGAAACGTAAACAGTTTCCAAAGAACTGCAAAGGCCTGATCTTCAGATGCGCCAAGCCACAAATTATTCATCAAAATGAGTTAGATTGTTCAACACTTTCAGAATATGTATGAAGAACTGTTGTTTGTTTCCGTATTTCTGTCTTAGATCACTTCTGTGGAACCAGAGTTTAGCTTTTTGGTTGCGGGACAGTACTGAAGAGTTCTCATGCCTCAGGGATGAGGACAACATAGATCTTTTTGTAATTGCAGTGGAATCCATTGGGTCCTTCAACACCAACTGCGTTAGCTCTCCTTTCTCTTGGTTGCTTTCTACTGGAGGTTAGCATGCTTCAGGAAACAGTGAGCCAGTAAAGCTAGAGGACAATTTTGACTGAGAAACAAATGGCTTTAATCAAGCCAAGAATAAATTCAACTTTGAAAATAGTTTATAGCTCTCAAAGGAGATAGGGCTTTTTTTCTGCAAAGCACTCAAACTAATTTTAAGAGTTCTTGACATGCTTACAAAAGTATTTTTTTACTGGTTTGCTTTTGACAGCAGTGATGTTCCTTCTCACCTTTTATTTTTCTGTCCTAGGACCTAGTATTTAACTCCATAATCTCTTATATCAAAATACCAATTGAAGATTCTGATCTGAGTTTTCTCTGCAAGGCATGTTACACTATATTAAATACCTTTCATAATATCTGAACTGCTGAACTGTGGGAAACAAGACTGAAAATTCAAAACAACGTTAAGCAGGACTTCAGATTATACTAAAGGGTGAAATACTGATAAGAGACCCATACACTTTGGTTAAAACAGAAAACACTGAAGGCTTTTTTAATTATTATTCCTTTTATGAGAAAATATTTAAGACCCTCTCTCTCACATGCAGAGTCACCATGTTGATACCACAACCAAAGCAGTGGTTCAGACAAATAAAGACTAAAGTAAGAAGAATTCATCGGATGTATTTTTCAAATATAAGAAATTGTTTCAGTAAATCTTAAAAAAAAAAAAAAAGAAAATCACAGAAAATACCAACTCCACCTTTAAGAGTTAGTTGAACTCTTTTATATTATTCTGTAAATCTCAGAGCCATAACTATCACAAAAATCTGTTTTCCTTCTTGTATTGCAAGTCTGGTTCCTGCAAGTCTTTTGCAGCCTGTGGCCTCCACACCTAAAGCTTGCCAAGACTGACCACGCTGAAGTGCTTTGCGCTGCGCACTGAAAACATGCAGTAGCCAAATTCTGAAGACAACCAATTCACATTCGTTACGGTGGTGTCATGATGAAGGGTTGTCACGCTTGCTTGAAATCTTTGCCTGTAAATGCAGATCTGGAGAAGAGGAGGCTGAGGGGAGGCCTTATCGCTCTCTACAACTACCTCAAAGGAGGTTGCAGTGAGATGGGTGTAGGCCTCTTCTCCCAAGTAACTAACGAAAGGACAAGAGGAAATGGCCTCAAGTTGCGCCAGGGGAGATTTAGATTAAATATTAGGAAAAATTTCATAACCAAAAGAGTGGTCAGGCATTGGAACAGGCTGCCCAGAGAGGTGGTGGAGTCACCATCCCCGGAGGTGTTCAAAAAACATGTAGACGTGGCACTTCAGGACATGGTTGAGTAGACATGGTGGTGTTGGGTTGACGGTTGGACTTGATGATCTTAGAGGTCTTTTCCAACCTTAAGATTCTATGATTTTATCTATCTGGGCTCCTCAGCTTCAAAGCTCCTAAACCACAAATGCAACACTGCTTGTAGGATGGTAAATTTAAAACCTGGTGTTCCTCCAAATATTCAGCCTTCCTTTTTCATTTACCCAGTATTTGAAAGGCTTGCTGCCCCATTGCTAACCAAGGATCAAGTGTAGATTGACAATTCAAGACAAAGGAAAAAAAAAAAGCAAAAGCAAAAAAAAAAAAAGCACGTGGCATATTTGCTTCTATTGAGTACAGTAACTTTATACTCTAATAGTTAGGCATTTAGTAATCACTGATAGATAATTCGTTTCAACTTCCAGCCATCTTCATATAAAATAGTTAGCACTTATTAATTGGAAAGACTACAAATGGTGTGAATGACCTGCACCTTCACTCCCCAAAAAGCTCACCTGGTCAAACCGTCTTTCCCTTCTTTTGCCTTCTTGTCTCCCTCAGCCAAATATTTCACGGACTAAAACTCCATCAGGGTAAACAAAAGAACAACACAGCTTTCATACAATTTCTCCCTTTTAAATTGTATCTGAAGAGAAGATGAAAAGTCACTTACAAATAGAACTCCTCTACAAAGTGTTCGCCACCTGCTCCATAGATGGTAACTATCCTTTTAAATTGCCTAATAGGTTAACATAAGGAGGTTAAATGCAGGGCAACTGTTCGCAATCTATATTTAGCCTGAAGCTTCCTACCTGATTAAGACCTGCAGGAAGGCTTGAATACTGAGCTTGTCCGTGATTTTTTTACTGTATTGCTTGCTTTATTAAAGATGCTCCCTCTCCCTGCAGGTCTTACTACACTGTTCAAGAGGTCGTGTTCAACTAACCATAAACATGGAATTTTAAGCATTTTTTATATTTAGAATCTCACCCATAATTATTCTTTTTTATATATATATATATTCATGCATAACCTGATCCATGTAACACAAATAAAGATCAGCTATGAGCCACAAATAAACTTCAGGAGAATTTGCTTTGTATTACATCTTGCACACTTTGTTTCAAAATAAAATTGGGGCAAAATATAGTGATATGCTCTCTGGATACGAACCAAGAGTTGAAAAGAACTGATGGATTTTGCATGTTAAAAGTAAATATTTTATTACATATCATGCCCTTGAAAAATTAACTTTGTTTCCATTTAATTTTGTTCAGCATGCCTTGAAATAGGAATGGCAAAAGCTCTTCAAGAAACAGATCACCAAGATTCATGGTACCACAGTGTCTGCAATTACCTATTTTCCTGGCCCAGTAAAACAAAACTTTTTTTTTTTAAATTACTGTAAAATATTAAACAGTGACATTAAGAGATACCATCTCTGTCTCTCCTTCAGCACAACTGAACCTTCTGTAATGAAAAGCTGTCTGCCATTGTGCACAGCCATGGACCCACATCCAAAGCCTGCTGATGTTGACAGTGGTCATCAACTTTTGACAGCCTTTTGGATAAGGCCTCATCATTGCTCTGGCTACCTGTGCACAGATACTGCATGAACCACTGGATACATTATTAAATTCAGGTTCACAAAGGTGCTGTCAACAGGTCAACTACAGTAAAATATTTGTATTTCAGCGTAGCATTACTTATATATGCTGCCTAGTTCGTTCTTGCTCTAATTTGTCCTCTCATCACTAGGTTTTTTTTTTTTCAAATACTGGAAATTGGTGTCAACAGTGCTCACAAAGCATAGTTGCTCACATTTGACATTTTCACAGGATGGGTAACAAAATGGAAGATTCCAGTTGTTAAATTCCACAGATGACACCTAACTCAGTCAACTTATTTTTCAGAAGTGATGAGCATCCAACTGTCAGGCAGTTTCTGGAACAACACGACAGTGCACCTGCATGCACAGCGCTGCAGGATGGGACCCTTGCACTTACGTACTCCGGGCTTGGGGGCCAACCGAGGCCTCTTGAAATTCATCCACCTACTAGGACATTTACTGCCTCGGAAGAGTTAAATATGCAAGTGCTATGATGTGATGCCTTTACAGCCAACAAATGTGAAATGTGGCAATAAAATGGTGTCTGTTTTATCTGTTCAGCATTTACCTGTGTCTAACTAGAAGAGGTCTCTAAAATGCTTCTTTTTAGCAGCTTGAAGGTTGAGAACCACCTGTAAACATTTGCAGAACAGTCTCTTTCTAGAAATAGAGACTCCTAAACAATCAACCTTGAAATTTATCATATATTATATTTCCAGTGTTATTTACAGATCTTCTTGTTTAGTACAATGAACCAGACATGCTGAAAAGGTAGGATTTTTCCAGTTCCCTTTTATACCAAGTACAATAAAAAAGGCACGTGATTATTCACCATAGAGTTGTGCACCAGTCAATAACTTAAAGCTAAAAAGCTACCCATCAGAGAACTCTCTTTATGAGGCAGTATTGGGATCTCTCCTTTCAGCTCCTCATAGAAACATCCATCTATTAATTCCTCTAGGAGAGCTTAAGGAACCCACTTTTCTGTTGTATTCTGATCATCACAAGATTTCCAAATCAACAGAAAACTCTTGTTAAGCTTCCCAGGTCATTATCGGAGCAAGGACAAGTCGTATAGGGCATGTACGTGTCTGCTTTTCTTTTCCTTATTCTTTTTTTGCCTTTCAATGCCCAACTGTGGAGGACTTGAGAGCCAAGTCCTGTTGAAACTAATTTGCTTTAAGACAAATGCCTTGCAAGATATGGCACGCCGAGCAATGGACAACGGCAGGAGAGGAAGCTTCTCAGCCCCAGCAGTCAATGTCGACCATGTTTTATCCAGTTTCTAATCATCCATTTCTGCCCCGAGCACCTTTGAACAACTAATCTGAGCCCAAAATTTGCATCCTTTGACATTTCCACTTCTAAACAACGGCCAGTGTCTCTGCTGATGATTGGACCATTCTGAGGGGGGGAAAAAAATAAAAAGAAGAAGGATTAGAAGAAGGAATAGAAAAGCTGAAAAGACTAGAAGAAAAATAGTGGTAGATCTGTAAATCCCTAGAAAGCACCATAAAATGCCTGCAAAGTTATGTATATATCAAGTGATAAAAGTCCCTAGAAAGTGCTAGAAATTCCTAGAAGCTCGACAATCCATACAAAGTGCCAAAACAATTCCTGGATAATTCTAGATTTAGAAATTGCTAGAAAATTCCCCAGAAATCACTAGAGAAATTTCTAAAAAGCACTACAGAATCCCTGCAGACCTTAAGGCATAGGAGATCCCAGAAGCTGTAAGAATGTCTTCAAAAGTACTAAAACTTAATTGAAAACTCCAAATCTAAAAATTCTTAGAAAGATTCTAGAAAGTTCTAGAAACAAAAATGCCTAGACACTAAAAAAATATAAAAATATTTACAAGCATGTACTTGACAATCACTGCAGAAATTGAGACTATTCCAAGAAAGCATAAGGGGGACTTTGAGAAAGCATAAGTAAAAACTCCTAGGAAGCATATCCAAAAATTCCGAGTAACAATGTAAAAATTCCTGGATAGCACGTGACCTACAGAAAACATATCTGACTATTTCTAGAAGACATAAGGGTGGATTCCTTGACTAGTCCTCTAAAGACCTCCTTATTTTCCATTAGCTATCCTCTAGAGCAACATTCCTCTCCAATTTATCTCTGCAAGGCTCCCTGAGCTCCTCTGTACCTGTGTGAAATCCCAGAACCTCTGTGCTGGCCTCAGGACATCTTCGCACTTCTTCAGAGTCGGCGTCCTGCCCTTCCCGTCATCGACCAGGCATTTGGAGTCGGGCAGAAAGGCGGTGGAGCCCAGCGGCCCCAGCTGAAGGACGCCTTCAGAGCTGTAGCGGACAAGCTGGAGAAGGAAGGGAAGAGAAGAGAAGGGAAGGGAAGAAAGTCTTTAACCCCAGCGATGGGACACAAAGCCGAGCTGCAGCTGCCTTTCCTGCCCCAAGGGCTGCTGAGCAGTCCTTCTCCTGCTGCCTGTGGGGACCTTCCCGGTCTGGCACACGCTGCTACGGGCAAAGCTCAAGAAACTTGTTTTACCAACACGGGGTCTCTCATAGGACACAATATTCCCTTCTCTCACGCTTCTGCTCCCCACCATTCCCTACCCGCTATTTCACTGCAAAAGGGCAATCAGGAAAGTGAAATAATCAATATGTAAATCATACCCACTCAGCAGGAATTGATTTAACAAGGACACGATGTCAATTTGCCATGCAGTTTGTTCTTAAGAGCTCTGTTAGAGGCTATTGATAGCAACAAGTCTAATTAGTTTTTGTAAATAATTGTTACTGAAAAAAATCCAACCATGCAACAGTCTCCAAAAATAAGGGGGGGGGGAAGAAATTGTGAGGGAAATAACAGCAAATTTTCTAACATATGCTTCAGGCCTACATAATAAAGATTCACACTCTGATATTTCAGTATTGTGTGAGGCTTAACTGTTCTGCAATTTAGTCATGTAGTAAATGCTACTGGCTGTAATTAGAGGCTTCAGGTAAGGGCCATTAATTATTTTAGAGATTTTTTTCATATAAAATATCTTAAGCAGGCACAATCATTCACGTTAATTTTTACAGGAGTGTAATTTTTTTTTAATCTTCTATTTTAAGTGATGATTTCACTTGCCTCAAGTCATTCACAGTAAAATAGCCCTCAAGAAAAATAAATCTGTATGTAGAAGGTGAGGTAAAAAAAAAATAAAAATCGGTCTCTTGTAATCTCAGCGTGCCAGAATATATTTTATTACATTAATATCGGAGCAAGGGAAAATATTTAAAGACAAAGAACATGCATAGATGGCTCTTGTCGATCAGAACTAATTGTCACAATGCAAATGTCTGATGGAAGAGAACTGTTTTGCTCTGTTCCCAGCAGCCTTTTGCTGTAAGCAGAGGGTGGCTGCCCGTTTGCCTTCGCGCGCTGCTACGTTTGGGTCAGAGAGGAGGGTGACACTGCTCCTTCTCCAGGCACTACGAGCGCACCGGCACAGCATGACCTCCCACACAGCACGCGTGGGAAGGGACACAGCCAGCGCCGAGCACGCGGACTCCTGGGAGAGCAGGCAGCGGACGTAAACCCACATCCCAAGGCACTGGAGGGAGGAAAAAAACCCCAAACCCTGAGAAAAAAGAAAAAAAAGCTTTTCCTAGGGATGCACCATGGACCTTGAGAAGTTTCATGCAACCCAAGAAGCCACTGAAGAACTGCTGGATGACAGCAGGCCTGAGGAACACAGTCTTGATGAAGGAAGGTTGAGTTCACACTCTTTATTCTGCCTCTTGCAGATCTCATTTTTCTCTGCTACAATTTGTTTCAATCTGTATTCTAATAAAGCCTGAAAGCCTTAAGGGTGGTTTTAGGATGCTCATTTAGAGGGAAAAGGGGCTCTGTCAGCTCACTCTCTGTCACATTGCACTGAGATAATGATGATAGTGACAGAGTCCTCATTTCTAAGTTGCAAAAATTAATAAGTAATCCCCTTAATTACTGCAACTTTCTAGATAGTTGAGGGAGAGCCTATTGAGGGAGATTTCAAAGCACATTAAAGCAAAAATGCACAATGTTAATTTGGCAGCAGGCCAAAACATCAAATCAGATGTATCTGCTTCTCCCTTCTTCTGTGTTTGAATCCAGAGTCATTACGCCAGCACAATACTTTGCCCTTCTCACCCTACAAGTAAGTGAAGTGCAGCACCCAGGTGCCAAAAGACTGCAAAGGGGAGTCAGCTACATGGCTGCTGTGCCGTGAGGCAGGATGCTGCAGGCTGATGATCAGAGCCACCTAAGAAATGCAATCATCACCCAGGAAATTCACGGCCTGTCTGGTCTTACTGCTGTTACGTGGCTGAAATTACTTAAGAAAGGGAAGGAAGGTCAGAAGTGCCTGCCATTTATTGGATGCTACTGACCAGTGCACGAGATATCATTAAGAGTCAATCAAAAAAACTCGAATTAGAGCCCAGCTTTCTACAGCCATCCTTATTAGCCTCAGAAGAATCACGCTGGGAATAATCATATCTTGCTGGTGGGAAAAAGAGCATAGTCTACTCACTCCCAGACCAGATGCCCTTTGACAAAGGATGTGTTCATTTTCCCACCTGCCACTTCTGTTCAGAGCAACCATGTGAAGCACAGAGTTAGAACAGAGCCTACATCAGAGAAAGCAGAGGGATAACCACATGGGGATGCTCCTCGGTACAAACAATGTCACTGTGGAGGCACTGTTAAAGGGGGAAAAAAACCCCACAATTTATTTTTTTTTTGTTGTTTTTTTTTTAAGTAAAGCTTGGCTGTGTGTTTTACGCTTTTAATATCGAACGGGTACTCGGCAGAGTTCAAATGAACTGCAGGCATGGCTGAAACTTACACTGACTGGGAAATGTGTTCATCTTGCAGTCTTTATTATATCTCTCCAGGTCTCAAAATACCACCCAGCAACCTGGCTGGCTTTGCCTTACCTAGATAATCAGAACCACTGTCTGTAATGGGCTACCTGCTCTCTCGTACAGGATCAATTTTCCCTGTGGTTTAAGATGAGCAGCATTTTCTGTACCAATATTAAAATGGTCTAAAATATTCTTTGTCTTTAGAATCTCAACAGCCAGAATTGCACGTGCTCTGCACCTCAGTAGCCATATACTTGGGAAAGACATTGTTATACAGAAGCCGTCAAAGCTCAAAGTACCATTTCTGCTTAGGCCTTAGAAGTGGAAGATACACTAATTCTATTATAAACTGTCTCCAGTATTGAAAGTGGCAGTTGTGTGACAGCTCAACAGTCAGAGAGGGCTTGGTGCAGGAAGCTGCTACAATGACGAGACAAAGGGAACATCATGGGCTTAATTCTCCTGAATCTTTACTTTCTGCCAAGAGTTCCAACAGTCATAAAAACTTGGGCTTATCCTAAAAAAAAAAAAAAAAAAAAATCTAAAAAACCACCGACAAATAATTATCTCAGTTCAGACCATATTACATAGTAAAGCTTTAGTACCTGTTTCTGCAAAATCAGACCAGAAATTCAGGTTCAAGAAACTACTATATGATTAATAACATTTCCTTCCAAAGACTTCATATCATATCTTCCTAGAGACAACATAAACTGTGAAAATAAAATCAGTGTTAAAATAAGTTGCTTATTACTGTAGACTAGAAAGTGGGAACTGGGCTACAGACTCTATGAAATAGTGAAAATTACACCTGCTGTGTTCAAATTTGATCTTAAGTGCCACTACCATATTGAAAAAGAAATAACCTCTGAATCTGCATTAGAACAGTGGGCATCATACATCACGCCAAATCCATTCCCAGTGCCAGCCAGCCAGAATTAAATGACAAAGTCCCCTTTATTAATGAATATTCAATCCCATTCATAAAAAAAAAAAAGTCTGTGCAAGTCTTAATAGGCTGAGAGCCTAAGCTATCCACATACTCCCACTGTAACCTGCAGAACAGAAATGCAGTTTTACATATCACATGAGGATGGACCTTCACTTGGTTTTTCTCCTGTATCTGAGAAGAGCTGAAGGATCCACATAAAGGACACTGAAGCTAAGTGCTCTATTAAATACTCCAAGATCTAATCCTGATACTATCTTCTGCACCTATAACAACATAGGACAGTTTTTCCTTCAACATTCAGAATTCTGAGTTGAACGGAAAAGATGTCAAAGGTGGTTTATCAAAGCCACCATATCTGGTTCAAAAATAGCAAGTGATGCTGCCTATGGAAGGCGATCCCCCAGGAGCATCAATGTGATAAGTAAATGCCACCTGTTAACTGAAGGATTTGACTGCAGAAAATCCATTCCTGCTAATTTCTAGTCAAGTGGAAAAAAGCACAAAATAACAACAGGTAATTTTTTCATAGGAAACAGTTACAGACTGCTCTGGTAGCTTTCCACACTACATTTAACCCCTCTCTCGCTCTTGTTCTCCAAGCAAAAGGAAATCTTCAATGATCCTTCAGCCCTGCAGGTTAAGCCATGTCAGCTATGTAAGCTGACAGAGAAACTGAAACAGTGAGCTGTACAGGAATCTGAAATGCCTTAAAGTCTCCAGAACACTTGTCACCACAAGACAAACAGATCACAAGTTACCAGACTTCCAGGTTTGCTACAGAATCTCACCCACCGCTTCCTGCAGGTGAAGAAACTGCCTTTTCATCCACCCTGCTCGAAGCAATCAGACCTGCTACCCAGTGTGCCGCTTCGGAAAGCCATAGCTCTACCAAGCAAAAAGTTAAATATCTGCCCTCAAGCAGCAGTTTAAGTAAAGCCTTTCATCTCCTCTTATTCCATCTGTTTGTGGAGCCGCGAGCTCTAGGACTCCGAACGTCGAGATCTCCCTTTCTGCTTGATCTCAAAGGCGAGAGAGTTCTCAGGTTCACAGCTGCCGTGCCTCCTCCTCTCGGAGTCAAAGGGAAGAGAGAAGGGCAGAGGAGGAGGCTGTCCACCAGGACAGGCCTTTCTATCCCAGGTGCCATTTTATTAAGTTCTCCTCTTCTTTCACATACCCTATAACCAGCTCCACATCACAGCATCCAAGACAGACTCTGAGAAGGTGAATATTTCCATTGAGGCTGTATAAGTCCTCTCAGATGGTTCAAAAGCTGTCTGTCCTACAACCTTTCTAAGAAGCTTCCAGAACAACACTTTCTAATTTTTTTTGGGGGGGTGGGGGGTGGGTGGGTGTGTTGTGCCCCCCCTATTTGGTAAATTTGTTTTAGGCGGTGCTATAGAACCCACAGTCTATACAGGTGATTGTACAGGACAAGCCACATGCAGAGCCAAGGGAGTTCAAGATGCCCTATATATTCCTTTGTTTCTGAATTTTCTCTAGCCCTGGACTGTTTCCCATTGCTCTCCCAGCGGTTTTCCCCTGAAAGGGATTAGACTCAAACTTCGGATCGAAAGAACACACATAAAAGGGCACTACTTTCCTGTAAAGCAAGTTCTGAAATCAACTTAGATTGCTGCAAAACCTTGTCTAGATATTGGATATATAAATGGATATATAAACTGTTAGCTTACATTGACTTAGCCTGAGTCAAATTCATTAAGCTAAATTGATGTAAATTCAGGCTAGATGCATTCCAGAGCATCCATAAAAGAGCTTGTCCCTGTTTGAATAAAAAGATTTAAAAGCTGACGTCATTGAAAAGATGCAATTTATCATGGTAAAAACTGAGCTTGAGAATATGCATAGGGAAAGGCATTTTCTTCATGGAGCAGTAGCGGCGGAGTGGTTTTGTTTCTCACTGGTAATGCAGGACACCACCATTCAGAGGTGTGCAATACGCAAGGGAAATAGAAGGGTAAGAAGTAGAAGAAAAGAACATTTTATCACAGATGAACAGTAATCTTATTCCTAACTCAGTTTTCTTTAAACACTTGACTGACTTCTGTTGGTTTCAGTGGAACCATGTGTATACTAAAATCACTGGTAATTTTCTTGTCAGAATTGAAGAGTATGAAAACCAAACAAGACTGTAGCTGAATAGCGAGAGGCTTTCACACCGGCAGGACGCATCAAGCACCAGTGATAACCTAACTGGTGTAAATGAGTTCCATGTTTATATTCATTTCTATTCAGTAGGCACGTACAACTAACCAAACCTCAACGCAGTAGGGGTATTTTGATGCCCTACGCTTGAGATGAAAGATGTCAGAAACTGAAAGCTAAACATAACAGCCAACTATGCTCACCCAGGCTGATTAGAAGAGGAGCTTTAAAAATGTTTATTTAATATATTAAAACGCTTGCTGTCAACACCTTTCATGCTATGTGCTTGAATATCCTTGATTAGGTTTGTGCAGCTGTGGTTCTCATACTGAATTAATTTTGTAAATTGTGGTGAGATGATAGAAGTTTTCCAGCTGTGTAATCATTAATTAACTTGGCTGCATTTGAGTGGCTCCAACCCATGCTTATCTGTGAAATACTCAACTTAGATAAAACATCACCTCTGCCTTCTTTTTGGTGTTTCTTACAGAAGGAAAACTTTTTTCCTTTTTTTTTTTTTTTTAAAGAAAAAAAAAAAGGGGGGAAACGGAAAGTGCTGCAGGATGATTTGGTAGATTAAGTTTTTCCTTCCTGTACTTTTATAATTCTCATGCATAGGCGATGCTTTGGATTTTAAGGGTTTGGGAAGAGCGACTTTCTCTTTTTACGCATTTATACAGTGCTAGTAACAAAGGGGCTCTAGCTTCTGGCTGTAATGTGAAGTCTAAAAACAGCTTTTCAGGCTTTTCCAGAAAACTCATATAGACAGGATACTGAAGACCTGTCGTAGAAGCGACCCAGAAGAGATTTAACTGGTCACTACCCATCTTCTTCAGCAGTGAATACTTTGTGTTTTGTTATTTGCACCTGCGAAGAGCTGCCCAGTGTCTAGTCTAGGGCCCACAATTCAAAAGGCATCATCTACTAGGTAACATATTTACATCTTACTAAAAGGAAAACAACCTGTTCCTTAATGGAAAAAAACGGTCAGAGCTGGATGCTGAGACGTGAGCTGCTTTATGCCCCCAAATTTACAAGAGTTAGGCAGGAGAAGCTGGGCACATCATACTTTCTTTCAAATAAATTCACAGTATGCCCTCAGCTATCATCTTCTTCTGGAAGTCAAAGCACATTCTATGAAACAGGAGTCATGGAAGCAAACAAGTAGGTTTAGAACTTAAATTGCAAAATAAATTACAGTCAGAACCATTTATTTCATTATTCTTCTCGATGCTAGCATGATGATAGGAGATCAGATGTTGCAAAGGGACTTCCTGGAGGGACTTAAATTTGCAACTTTCTTGTCAGAATTAGAACAGAGCAAGAGACTGAACTCTGAGTGCCTTGACATCCCTAACTAGAGTCCTCTTGAAAAGCTCATTTACATCTAATTAAGCAACACTATTTTTGTTACCTTACTCAAAGGCTGTTCTTCTGCCTCTACTAGGAAAGTGTCAGTCAAATGTTCCATAATGATCCTGCCAAAGGTGGACATTTTGTCAGTGGGAATTACTGTCTATCTCACTTTGCTCTAATAAGTTATGACTCTTCACCAGCTTGCAATTAAGCACAACAGGCAGTATTTATATTTTGCAACTCTTGTTATGCCTCCACAGTGATGTACAAGCCAGGACTCCAAATCAATATATGTATGACTGAACTTCAGATAATTGTTAAGTCTGTGATAAGGTCAGAGTTTATTTACACATGAGGAAGTTCATTAACGTAGTTTTGATTCAGATGGTACTTCAAAAGAAACTCGAATTACATTTCAGAAGAAGCTCAAGTCCTGTATTTAAAAAATATCCAACTTGTATTTAAAAAAAGTAACATCACTACAAGCACGGAAAGAAGAAATGTCATTTTAAAATATTCAGTGATCTGCAAGAAAATAATAATATGCACAGGGATTGACAAAAAAAGAAATCTTCTTTTTTAGAAAACTATTAACTTAAAAGATATTTTCAATTCCCTTTGAAGTTGACGTTAAATATGTGCTTAACTTTTTGCCTACTTGGGGAATCACATCAGCAGCTTGCTAATTCATTTCTGCATAGGAGCCTATTGGACCAATGAACAGTTAATTTGAAGAGGTACTATTCCTACAGTAAGTCAAGTCATAATGAAAAGAGCTGCTCACTCACACAAACTTTCTAAAATTCATTAGCCTTTGGGGGATCTCTCTGCTATTAAAACAAATTATCATGATTCTTCTGTTTTCCTAAATGGCATCTTCAATGTATAGATTCATGTGCTGAACAATCTTGGAAGGGGCACCCAAGACGACCAGAGTAAAGCCAGGGATTTTCCTTTGCAACTCAGGAATATACTGCTAAACTCAAATGCACCAAATTACTTCCTGATTCTTCTGAAAATTCTTTAAGTTAAAGGTTTCTCATTAATTAGGGGATTTTAACCATTTACCTGAGAGGACATTCCATGGCATGGATAAAGGATTGCTTTGTCATCCTCTTCAGCTCCCTGATCTAAGCAGTAGCCACTAGCTTTGCTGTTACGCACCTATAACCGGATCAGAAAGAAAACAGGTGTATTAGAAATTAACCTGTACGATTCAAGTCCAATCTAGCTAAATCTTAGCTGCACTACAGCTATTGAAACAACCAGTATGTAAAACTGTTCTTCTCTGAGAAACACATGCTTGTTCTCCAGATATGACAGGATGCCAGTAGTGAATTTGCTCCAGGGAAAGACATTATTTAGACAACCTACTGTCTTTGCAGACCTTGGGTCAGAGTTATATTTTCAGCAATTACTCAAGGATCAAAACTCCATAAAATTCACTCTAAGAAACCCAGGCCAAATTTTGCTCCAAATTACCCTTGTGTAAAATATAAATTTTGACCCTGTATGTTGAGAATGTGACTTCACCAAACTGCATAGGAACTACCCAGGACTGGTGTTGGATGTGGCACCCTTTTGTTTGCTCCTATTGCTTATATATAAAGAAAAAAGCACGTGAAAAAAATATTTGAATTGAGAATACAGTATATGGTTATGTACAGCACGTAAAGCACATCATTGTGAAAGGATACAGCAATGATGAACAGTGTTGGAAGGCTTTCACTATATTTAAAGCGTGGGTTCAGAGATCCAACGAAGTAAAAATCCATGTGCCTCCCCAGACAAGAAGAATTTACAAGTCTATAAAACTGGGCTGGAGCTCTTGTGAAACCTCAGGCCTTTCTGTCTCTTCAGGCTAGTAGTTGTACACACATTTTGGACATAGAAAAATCTTACAGGTATCTTAAGAAGTTATTTAGATGGACGTTGTGAAATGGTCAACAGGTCAGTTTTGGATTACACTATGAAGTGTTTGTTCTGGCCATCTCCATAATATAGAAATAGCTGCTGCATGAGGTGTTGGGAAAAAATCATTAAATAATCCTTCATATTATAGTGTACGAGCATAACAGGGAATCTGATCAGACAAGGGGGCTCATCAACAGTTAAATTTCAGGAGGTTTATTTTATGACTTTGGTACTATAAAGGCTAAAGAAGATGAAGACAGCTTTATGACACAGCTTTAAAAATGTGAATTGAGTCACTAGGAAATATATTTTTACTACTGTTTCAATCTGTTTCACATCTACTCAATACATTTATTTTCCTTTAAACTCACTAAAATCCAGACATCTTTTCCTTCAGGAAAATAACCAGAAGAGAAAGTATTTAATAACAAGCTTGATGTCATTTAGGATGAAGCCTCTAGTTTTTTCATTATGGGCATGCAAGACTGAAAGGGAACTATGCCAGTTTATACTAGCTAAATAGCTTGTGTGGCTCCTTTCTATTATAAATTTTAATGAATTAGATAGTTGCATCACTAAACTTCCTGTTTGACTCAAGAACCTTCTATACGACCACTCAACAGAAAGAAACTCCTTTTTAGAGCCCAGCTTGCTAACCGTCTGGTATAATTGACACAACATTGGCAGTACTGCCGATGTTCTTCGCAGTTAACAGCCTTCTCAGAGCTGACAGTTACTAATAGCTCCTGTTGAATTTACTAAATGTCTTTCCTCACTCTACTGCCAGGGGTAGTTATATTAGGATGCAAAGTGATATTATGCAATAAAACTTGCACTTTGTATCAATATCTGAAGCGCCTGACTTATTTTTATATGAAGTCAATCAAATGGAACAAAAAGGAAGAACGTCCATTTAGTTGTCTTGTGTGAAAATATATGGGCTTTGGATTTAATTGTAGTTCACGTAGACAATTAAAACAGAATCTTAAAAACATTACGCAGCAGGAGAGCTCCTAGAACTTCGCCCCAGTTCACAGTCATAAGTGATAGCAGTCCTCACATTACAGGCATGTGATATAGATTTAAAGAGTCACAGAAGGCACGTTTGGCTTCTTTAAAGATTGGGGTCAAGCATATGTGGGAGATTTGATAGGGTCACAGAAGAGAAAGAAATGATGCAGACAGCTGAGGTGAACCGAAACGTCTACACATTTCTAACACGTTTGGATCCAGCATTTTATTAGGGTTAAGTAACCTATCCACTCAGCTATCTCAGAGTAGGTGTTCCAAGGTCTTACTCAATACTGGTACACAAGTGGAAACGAAAATACAGAATCTGAGCACAAAGCAGCAAAATTGTTTTTTCTCTAATGACTTTTTCATGATGAGAAGACAACCTGCCAAATGGTAGCCTCACCTCATAATCTGAACAAGGTTATGTTGCTTTTTATCCTGAACGAGGAGGATTGCAAAGATGAATTAATAAAGCGAATGTAACCCTTCAGATAGTTTGGCAAAACCCAAAAAGGGGTGTTCTTTACCTAAAAACAATTGAGCAAACTCAACTGTTCTCATTAACTGTAATTATTTTACCTCTCTTGACTGCTGATGTTTTCTTGATGACATCTGTGGCATCCGATTTGGGAAAACGATTACCTCAAACTCATGTTCTCAGAGCTTCTTGGTTTTAAAAGAAAGCCAAGGAGGTTGCTTATCATCGTTAGTGAGAATGATTTCATCTAACATCCACTGAGAGGGACAGTGCTTCTCAAAGCCACACTTCTTGGTGGTGATTAAAAGTAGGGGAGGACATTTCTGTTGCTACTACTGTGCTGACTTCAAATTGCTCTGTACATCCTGATACCCACCACTAAGATGAAAGGACTGCTCTAATGCAGATGTATTTTCAAAGACATATAGTACCTCTCCATAAGTGACTGTATTATTATAAACCCTCATTTCAGGATAGACGTTCTCCAAGTACCACTTGAAACTCCGGCACTGCAGTCGCTGTCGTAGAGCTATTCTTTCGGAAACGTCTCCAAAGTCAACTCCAGGGTTCTACAAAGCAGAAAAAGAACAAAGAAATCTCACTGCATTGACTTTATGGTTGTTTTCTTTACTGAAACCAAATTGGATTTCATTTTGTATACCAAGCTGTATTTCCCTCTCTTCTTTCTCTTTTGTAACTAGCAGCTCATCAAACAGCTGCTGTTGAGAGCAGACAATAAATATTAATGAAAGTCAGTGGGAAAAGAAGGATAACGAACAAGGAAAAACAAACATAAATCAAAATAATAAGAATACAATAAGAATGTTGTTACTTACAGCAATTCTAAATGTTTGCAATCAAACCTGAACTCCTTTGCTTTCAGACTCAATAGGAATTTAGGCAATAATTCTGATCTAAGATATGGCAGCTTGATCATGGTTTACTCTAGTGACAGCCTTGGGTATTCCCTAATGTAAATGAGATCAGAACAGACCTGTTAAAACTTCAAAGCAGAGCTGCTCAAAAAGTCATTAAGCTCCATTAAACATTTGCATAGACCAGCATTCAGCTTTTACTGGAACTGGAGCTCATTTGCAGACTTGAGCCATAAAATGCAGTTAAACTCAAAACCTTCTTTATAATTCTACTTCAGAATTTAAGTCATGTTTGAATACAACTCCCATGAAAAACACAGGCTGGAAGAATCAAATCAATATGATCAAACCCACCCATTTAAAAAATGCCAAGTCCTGAGCTAGTGTCTGTTGATTTAAACCAGTATAAATCATCACAGTTCAGCATTAAGACAGTAAGAGTTACCTCATCTAAAAATCTTTTCTGACACTGTATGAATCAAATAGACTGAAACTGGGGAGTTTTGCATGGATCTGTCTTAAGTGCCTTGTACATTACCTCCAGAAAAATTTCCGTATGTTTTACAAATGATGTCTAACGCAGGGTTACAAGACAACCACAAATCTTAGCTCAGGATTCATTAGAATCCCCAACAGATGGCTAATTTTCAGGAGAGAATGCAAGTGTGATACTGAACAGGTTTTGCTGTTTGCCACATAGAGTTTGCTGTGCTCACTGCTGCTTGCCGATGCATACTTTGTCACGAGCTCTCTATGCAGCATCCATTCAAATGAATGTTAATTTACGTACTACTTCAGGCTACATGGAAGGAGAGCAATTCTCGGAGGCCCTCAGTACAATAAATCATTCAGTGTAAGATTCCTTTATCACTAAAAGGAATAGATCATAAGCAGGGGCATACCAAATATTTGGTATTTACTAAATGCTTGAAAGGTTGGACCAGATGATCTTTGATCCAACCTGGTGTTCTCTGATTCTATGACAGCTGCGCTGACCTGCTGGTGAACGTTACAGGAATATGATCTTGCAAATGTGTCCAAAGATCATCCACTAAACAGGATACACATTATGCACAGATCCTCGATAACTTGGGAGCGAGGTGTGAAAAAAGATGGTGTGAGTTATGAAAGGGTTAATTTGGAGGGGCTTTAGTACGGAAGAACACGTGTATTTTACTTGCCTTCTTTCTTCCCTGTTCTAAAATGAGGCAATACAGTGCCCTGTTTGCAGTGCCATTTCTACAGACCACATGAGCAGCAAATTGAGCAGCTGTGAAAATGTTGTGCTTACTTCTGTACTAGCTGCAGTCATCATCTGCAGGTATGTGGACATATCCTTTTTAACTAGGCAGTAAGGTTTCTAGTTCCCCTGCAGAAGTGTTTTCTTATGGCTTATAGCCGTACAGTTCTTAGTCATCGCGATTGAATACTACAGTGGAATAACTGTGAACACTAACACTAGTTTCCTTTTCCTGAGAGCTAATGGGGTTACTTTTATGATGCACATTTTATCAATCAATTTATTTTATGGAAAGAAAATTTTAACATTCAGTACTTATGCCGATTTTATGTCTCGTAATGTAGATGTGTGTCCCCCTTTTATTTTTTTTTTTTTAAAAGCACTGCTGTATAACTCAGTGTAGAAAACTACATCAATAAGTAATCTCAGAGAGATTAAAGGAAATCACGTTTTGCTGTAAATGCTTACTTAAATGTCTTGTCTTTTCTCAGAATTCATTTGCAGAAGGCATCAAGCAAACAAGTTACCAAGGTTACTTCTTTTTCCTCTCCTATTTGAAACTTACCATTTTATCAAATGGATGCAGACAGAGCCAAAACGCCCCTAAAAATTTAGACGGATACTGCTTTGTCTTCTTCCTACTATCATGGAAATCTTGTATGGGAAAGAATTTATGCAGTATTGCCTTGTTAAGGCAAAATAATTCTCTGCGATTACCGCTCCTGCCAAAAGAAGTCACCCAAACAGATCTTCATAGAGACCTAACTTTCAACACTGCACAGAATGTCCAATACTGAACAGCAAATTTGGACACGTGTGACCATCTGACCTATTCAGACATCACATGGAGAAGAATGAAACATTGCTCCTTTAGGTATATGTATTTTCAAAACTACAACAGGAATGAACAAAAATGGGGTTCAATGCATTACCTAGGTACCAAAGTACAAGTAGATATTTAGGACACAGACTAAATCTGATGATTTTGACAAGACTTCTGTGACTTTGATGGACTCTAGGTCATATCTGAATATTCACAAAGACACTGCTGGGTTGGCATATAAATGGAACATTCCTGTTTCCGTTTACTTCAATCAGCTTTGAAAAAACCTCTCATCTAAGGGTTAACTAAACCATCATTACCTACAGAATGGAGTATGCTTCCCTTCAGCTGCTCTCCCTGTGCTCCTTCACATGAATAATTTGGATGCAAATACCACTAAAGGATACAGCAGCAGTCAGCTTCCACCTGAGTGGGATATAACATACATCTCTTCTCTTGAAGAATTATGCTCAGTGGAGATGTAGCATGCAATATAGTTACACAATAAAGTGATAAATTGAACCTACAGTTTATCTAATATTTATATTACATGGATTCCTAGAGGTCCCCACGTGCCATCTACAATTCGTATGCACAGTAAAAACCAGAACGTGTCCACATAGAAACTCTCAGCCTGTAGACAATAAAGCTAGTTAATGTGTGATTCTTTTATCACATACTTTGTTTTTATGCTGGTGAGGTCTGCTGAGTCTCATGATGAAGGATGATATTTATTTATGGACATTTCTGTAGTCCTCACCACTGTAGCATATGAACACCTCAAAGTTTAATGGCATCCCAAATTAACGACTTCTTCTGAGGAAGCAGATAAACCTGAAACATCGTGCTCTAGTTAAATTATAAATCTGTGTCACTGCTCCTGAGCGCACAACAAAACTTACACCAAGGAAGCAAGTTATATGGCAGAACTCTCCGTATTGAGCACGCAGCAGCATGAAAGCACTCTTCCCCCTAAGCTTAGCCCACTTCACACAGTTGTAGTAATATCCTTCACCTCAAAGTGCTAACGAGGAGCAGCCATCCATGTTTCTGTTCAGAAGAGTGCGTGACCCATACTTACTGCCATGGGGATGTTCCACGCCATGTAAACATGCGACTTGAAGTCATCCATCCAGACCTCAGCGGCCCGCAGGGCGTTGCGCTTTGCATAGTAATCGATGTCGTTGTTGTAGGGTTTCTTTGTGCGTTCAATATGTGCCACGCGAGAACAGGGTAAGACCTCCGTGCTTCCTCCACACTGCCAGACCTGGGAGAGTTGGAGGAAAAAACAATTACATGATTTTTATTTTTTAATTTTTTTTTTCTTTTTAAGGTGATACAACTGCTTCTTTTCAGATGCTGTATGTAGAGTTTTGCCTAGGGGGAGATGGGTACTATCGAACAATTCAGAACGATCTCTCAATTTATCTGCTCTGGGGGTGAAACCCCTCCCTCTTCACATTGACTCTAGATTAGTCCAAGGTGAATGCAGCTGGCTGTGTTAGGTAGAGAAGTTTAGGTGCCATAAATATCCAAGTCCTTCCCCATAATATCACTGTTCTTGAAACCATTAGGCAGAAGACAAATTATAAGGTGGTAACCTCAATCACAGGGACTACTTTAACCTAGTGCTCGTTACTGAAACTTCAGCAAAAATCACTTGTATCAACTGCCTGTGTTTGGAGCTGTACAGGTGTGGGTTACTGTTATCAGCTCTCCAAATCAACTAACAAACTTTTAATAGCTGAAACGTGACTGCCAGAAAAATCCGATACACATTTAGTATACCTAAGCATCTCGGATGACCTATTCCACACCACAGCCCTTTGTGCTGGGATTTGAACATTACCTTTGGGAAAGAAAAGGAAACAAATTACCCACGTGCACAATACCAACAGAATAAAAAGCATGGAAACACGCTTTTTTTCTTATTATGGAAACTGAGACTTTGATTGTGAGTCAGTCAGTTATTCTTTTCTTTTTCTAATCTAGCCCCTGCAGGCTTCACTGATTTCCCTTCACAACCATGCTTTGCCCTACCTTCAGTAAGAAACAGGCGCTCACTTACCTGGTACAGAACGTACCATGGAAATTTTAGCTGAGAATAAGACATAAGTCTTAGCACAGGATGCTTGGTAAATCTGGTCATTAACCAAAACGTGGGTTTATTTAGCAACAGAGGTTACTGCCACACTTGGGAGTGGATGTGAGCACAGCAAATGCGTTCCTCACCCAGTGCTCCTGCCACCTCTCAGCCACTGACCTGCCAGGCAGAGAGGAAAGGAGAATCCTCTGGTGCAACTATTCTGTATACCCTCACCTGCAGCCTGGGCACATAAGAACCAATAAATGAGCACTTATCTCTCTACCCCTGAGTTGATGAAGATGGATAAAAGGGGCCGAGTGGGGACTGTATCACCCAGCCTTCCCAGACACCACCGTACCCGCACCGGGCCGTTTCTTCCTGTTGATTATTTACTGTCTGAACTCTGTGGCGGGAAACAAAGAGGACTTGTCTCTTTGAATCAGCAAGATTAGCAATGATGCAGGGTGAGCAAAGCTTATGCATTTCAGTTCCCTCAGGTCTGAACTTAGTACTATAGTCTAGCTGAAATGAGAGATATTAAAATATAAGCAATAATCCATTGCTTCCAAGGCTGCCTTTTACTGAGCATAAGGGCTCATTTCTGGACCAGATGCGCTCCAGAACAATACTGGGGCAGTTCTCCACCTAACCTGCCTTCTCAGGGACAAAGAGAAATTGCTTGGAAGTGGCAGATAAAATCTTCTCCTCCAGTTTGGCGCTTTTTTTTTTTTTTTTTAAAATACTTTGTTAGGCAATATTTATTTGCTGCTTTCCAAACAGTTCTGTAGTAAATCACTGGCCACTAGAATTTGCATTTGATAAAATGAAATACACTGAAAAACACACTGCTCATAAATTTGGACTGACATATGCTGAGGGTTTCCACTGCAAAGGGAAAGTGCTACAAAAAAACAGAAAGGAATTAATTGATTTTCATTATCAGAAGGGGAAATAAACAGTACACTTTAGTATACTGCTATTTGCCCAACCCAGCCTCAAAGTCAGCTATTTAATGCACAGCACATTTTTCTTTCTCTTGATATGGCTAATGACCTTGTAAATTTTATTTATATATTTTGGTACCAAGGGCAAATACATTATCTGAGCGACAGATTTATTTCCTTCAAATACCAGTGCTGGTACAAACCTGAAAAGAAAAAGGTACTAAACTGCAACATTAAAGGAAACAGTTTAGCTCATCTGTAAATTCAACACAAACAGTTATTTATCAGCGATAAATTCTCCCCAGATGAAATCCACAGGGAACTCAGACACCTGGCTTTGAAGAAAACACAACCAAAAAAGGCAGCAGCAGCCTCAGGCCAGATACTGCTCACCCTGTCAGCCAGGATCATCGGTGCTCAGCAGTCAGTGTGAATTTGCACTGTGGCATGACTGCCCCATCTGCAGTCGTCCGCATTACTTTACATTTACATTCAGTCACTCAGATTAGATATAAGGAAAAACATTCTTTACTGTTAGAGTGGTGAGGCACT